TCTTTGTTTGTCTTCTCCTCCATTTCTTTAAGGGAGTTTTTCATTTCCTCTTTAAAGGCCTCTATCATTTTCATAAAGTTACGTTTAAAGTCATTTTCTTCTACTTCTTCTGGGTTAGGATGATCAAGTCTTCCTGTTGTGTGACTGCTGGGTTCTGGTGTTATCATGTTGCTTTTGAGGTTGTTGGAAGAATTCTTGCATTGGTGCCTGCCAATCTCTTCCTTCAAATGAGGCCAGCGGTGTCTTTGTGTCTTGGTCCAATCCTTGCAGAGGCTCTCTGAGTGTTTGGGAGTTTTTCTTGGTCTGCTCTGTACTGTCAATGTCTGTCTCAGAAAGCCTCTGCGGTCCCTATGTGCCTGCTCTCTTGGTCTTCTCTCCTGGTTTGCTCTCTTGGTGCTCTCTCTTAATTCCCTCAGTGTTGTGGCAAGCTGTTGGTCTCTCTTAATCCCCTCAGTATTGGAGCAAGCTGTGTTTCAGAGTTCCACAGAGGTTGCAGGAGGATAGGCGGGTTTGGGGTCAGGGTGTGGTTAGTAGTTTGGACGTTTGGGTTTGGGGGGAAGCCTAGTCACAGGAGGAAAGTCCCAGCTGTTTGACTAGAAAAACTGAGGGAGCTGGGGGAGGAGCCCAGGATTTTGTCCCACTTGGGAGGTCCTAGAGAGTAGGGCATCCTGTTATGTGGCTGTTCACTCACCTCTTAAGACCCTTCAGTATTGGAGTAAGCTGGGTTTCAGAGTTCCACCAAGGTTGTTGGAGGATAGGCAGGTTTAGGGGGAGGGTGTGGCTAGTAGTTTGGATGGGTTTGGGTTTGGGGGATCCTAGCTGCAGGAAATTCCCTGACAATTGGCTAGAAAAGCCAAGGGAGTTGGGGGAGGGGCCCAGGGTTTTGACCCACTGGGGGGGGGTCCTAGAGAGCGGGACATACCACCCTGTGGCTATTCACTCAACTCTTAAGCCCCCTCAGTATTGGAGCATGCTGTGTTTGAGAGTTCCACTGAGGTTGCAGGAGGATAGCTATTTATTTAATTTTTGTCCAAATTCAAGAATGGGTGAGTCTGTGTCTATAACTACTGAAAAGAAAGCAGGAATAGGGAGTTTGAAATTCCATGTGATGGTATCACAATTGTCCCTTATTTTGCCCCCCCTTGGGAATGTTCCATTTTGACATAATAACAAATCTGTTTATGTTTGCAAAGGTTTAGCTATGGATCCTGCTTCTGGAGGAAAACACAGACAAGGATTTAATAAATCTTCTAAAAAAGATTAACTTCTAGAGGCCAGGTAAGAATGAAGCCACGTGTATTCCAGTGCAGCTGGTCATGTAGGCTTGTGCAGGCAGGACCCAGTGAGTAACCTCTGAGGGAAGGGGCCTAGAGAAAGCGAGCCATGAGAGGGCCTGTCAAAGTATTCTCTTGAAGCCCAAGACAGCCTCAGGTTTCCTTCTTCAGGTACCAGCAGCTTTTCTTTTGAAGCAATAGTTCTCTCAGGCCTGGAATGCAACAAGTAAAAAAACTAGATGGGTATTGAACACCAGGACCCCACCCATCTCTGCCTCTCTAGCACCAGAATTATCAACACACTTCACCAGAACCAAACATAGGTTCTGAAGATTAAAATCACATCTTCACACCTCTGAAGCAAGCACTTTATTGAGCTATTTTAGGTCTTGACTGGATTAGAGAGGGAATACTTCTCCTCTTTGACCCAGAAACTAGTTACTTTTCCATTTTTTACAAATATACTTCCCTTTTTTAAAAGGCTGTCTTGTGCTAACATTCATAGACTCCTATATTTCTGTCCTTGATAGTTCTGCTGGGTGTGCACTGAGATTTACTTTTAGAGACAAAGTATCTCACGGCATGAAGGCTTGCATAGACACTAAGCAACCACCTTCCCTGTAACTTCAAAATCTGGAGGCCCTTAGTTACCTAACATCTTCCATGTGGAGACTGAGGTAATGTTCATGTCCTCTTTTCTGTCCTCAGACTGGCTTCCTGTAGCTCTGCAGCCTGGACAGTCGGGCACCTAGAAACACCTACCACAGAAGGCCAGAGCCAGCTGTTCTCATCTGGCATCATTAGAAAGAATGATAGACGTTTAGACTTCAAGTTTATCTACTCCTTTGACTCTTTTCAAAAGTTATTAAATTTATCAGCCTATATCATAATGTCCGGTTTAAAGATTCAAAGATTTCCTTGAAGTGTCCTTAAGGCATTAAAGAACAACAGTGTGTTTTTGATATTTGTATCTTTTTGTGAACTAGTCATTGAAGAACTATAGTTATCAGCTAGGAACATCAGGTTTTAACCCACTTCATTCTATGTAAAAACTGTAACAGCCCAGTTTTGATATTGTATCTATTAAGCTATAATTAGAAATTGTTCCTACTTTAATTTTAATATTATAAATTTCTAGATGCATTTAAAGTGTATGGACATGTATTTAGATTGTATGCAGTATGTATGCATTTAAAGTGTATGACTTGTATTTAGATTGTATGCAGTATGTATATGTACCACATGCATGCCTAATGCTTGCAGAAGTCAGAAGAGAGTGTCAGACCACCTGTGTAGCAATAGAGGGCCTGCTTGTTGGGGTATCTGTTCCGCCCAGTACCCCACAGTCAGCAAGTCCCAAAGAAAATCACACAGAGATCTCTGTAAGTTATACAACTGATTGGCCCATTAGCTCAGGCTACTTATTAGCTCTTGTCTTCTATTAACCCATTGTTCTTATCTATATTAGCCACATGGCTCAGTACCTTTCTCAGCTGGGCAGGTTACATCTTGCTTTTTGGTGGTCTGGGCAAGAATGGGAGGAATGGGCTTCCTCCTTCCTAGCATTCTCTTATTCTCATTGCCCCACCTCTACTTCCTGCCTGGCCAATCAGCTTTTATTCAAAATAAACAGATTGACAGAATACAGACAATTCTCCCGCACCACACCTGAAACTGAAATTACAGACATTTGTGAGCAATCTTGTGGGTGCTGGAAACCAAATACAGATCCTCTCCAAGAGCAGCAAGTGGACCATCTCTTCAGTCATCCCCCATTCTTTACACGGTCCTCTATCTGCCATATAGAATTCTTTGGGATAGGCCAGTCCACCAAACACTGTCTGCCCCATACAAATACATATATTTGTAAGTATGTGTATAATATGTATGCATATATGTATGTATGTATATACTCATTATGTATGTAAGCTGGGCTCAAAGTTGTAGAGATTTGACCACTCCTGCCTCCCAAGTGCTGGGATTGAAGATGTGCCTCACTATGTTCAGTCCCAGACTGTATTTCTTGGAGGGGAGGGGAAAAGTTGATGATACTTTGTTTCTCTGTGAAAGAAATCTCTAAGGCAGTGGTTCTCAACCTCCCTAATGCTGTTACCCTTTAATACAGTTCCTCATGTTGTGGTGACCCCCAACCATAAAATTATTTTTGTTGCTACTTCATAACTGTAATTTTGCTACTGTTATGAATTATAATGTAAATATCTGTTTTCTGATGGTCTTTGTGTGTCGCCACCCATAGGTTGAGAACCGCAGCCCTAAGGGTTTTTGTCCCTCATATCTTCTAATCCTGAAGCTTTCTATTCATGTTTTTTATCATAGTTTTGTTTACACAGTTGTGTGGGAGGTGAGTCAATTCTTCCTTCTCCTCGGCGTCTTAAGGGTCAGGAAACATCCTTTTGTAGAGTCTGTTACATTTAGTCCATACTTTTTTGTTCAAGAACATATTCTTAACCAGGGACTTTAGGAAAATTAAACTATGTTCTCTGTCAATATTTTTGCAAAAGCATCCCGGGCTATTCCCACTACTGGTGCAGCCCACTGAAATGTTAATGATCTGGACCAAGGGGACCAAATGCCATTGTTTCATGTACAGGAAAATCAAGTATTCTATGCAACTGACCAAAGACTGTGGTAGACTATGTAAAGGTATTTGTGGAAGTGCCTGTGAGCAGACCTTGGCTGAGGTTAGCTATTGTTTGGGGAGACTGCTTTCCCACCCAGAGGAAAGGGAGACTGTGGGAACCAAGATATCCCAGAGCAGTGAATTCTATCCCGTGAGGTTATCTCACTGCCTCATTGCCCACTCTGGGTCAACTGTGGTTTACAGACCCTGGTTTTATGGCTGATCCCATAGTGTTAACTTCCCCGTTACTGTGACTGACTTCAACCCAGCCCCACCTTGGGCTTCTTGACAAGACTTTTTCCATATACAAATGAACTCAAGGTTTCCCTTTCTTTCACCCACTTCCATTTAGAGTTAACACACACACACATGCGCACGCGTACACACACACACACACACACACACACACACGGAGGGGGAGCAACTGTCATATCTAGGGGTATGTTTTCTGAAGAAATTCCAATTAGTTACGTGAATTTCTAAGAGGTATCAGAAATCAGTTGTAAACACTACTGTGAAATTGAATCAGGGTAACATGGAAGAGACCACTCTGGTGGCTATACATCAGAAATGAAACATAGGACACTGTGACACTTTAAGACTCAGTGCCGAGCATGTGACCAAAGCTTAAAGACTTCTTAAACCATAATTTACTCAAAAGAGGCAAAAGTTCTGATGGGTGCTGATGCTGGAAATTGTGAAGAGGTAATGAGGCGTGAGGGTGCCAGGAAGGTTTTCTGTCTCAATGGGGGTCTATAGCCCATGTTGACGCCGGTGTCGCTAAATGAAAAAACTCAAGCCGGAATGCTAGATGCTTAACGTTTATTATATGTAGGATATATATGTCGGGAAATACAGTCTCAAAACGAAATACAGAGTCTTTGAAGGTTAGGTATTACACTTTCAAACTCGATTAATAAGGTATCAATCAGGAGAGATTACAAGTACAGTTACATTGCTAAACGGGTTTTACACTTTCAAAATCGATTAACAAGGTATCAATCGGGAGAGATTACAAGTACAGTTACATTGCAAAACGGGTTTTACACTTTCAAAATCGATTA